CATGCTTTAATTGGCTTGGATGGAAGCTAGGGGACTCCCTAATATCAAAGGGCAGGGGTCCTCGTCGGAAATTCTGAAAATGATCATTTTAGTTTGGTTTCCCGATTTTATTTGCATTTTGCACAATCATGGAACACCTCGGTTCATATTGAGTTTATGATGACATTGCTAGTTTATGACAGCTTAGGGTCGTCGTATACCCTAAAAGGAACCGCAAAGCTCGGTGGGAATTCTCATCATTATCACCCTGAGCGGGACCAAAATACCGATTTCAAACCCTGAAAGAGACAACGAGGACCCCCACCCTTTGATATTAAGGAATCCCCCCTTCCCAGGGCTGGTGCCTTGTATGTGTTAAATTACAAAAGGATTCAATGAATTTTCTTGGCATATTAACTATGCTTTGATATAAACATTACTGTACATGTAACAAAAGTTTTGACAATTAAGTTTTCAAAATCATATTGGCAGTTCAGGAGGGCATTGGTCTTTGTTGGAATGATATATGTGACACAGTGATTGAATTACACCCATACAATTGTGCAATTGACCAATCAATAACATATCACATGGTTTGACCTCTCTCAATTACATTGTAAACATTGACTAGCATCAAACGCTTTTTACTCATCACAGATGAGAACTCCCATCATTAAAACCCTTGATGGGACCAAGTATTTCAAACCCCAAAAGGAAAGGCCGACCCCTCCTCCCCTCTTCCCCAGCATTCCATTTCCGCCTCTAGTAGGGCATACCGTCAAAAGGGCGTATCTCCACATATCGTTTTCATCTTTAAAACCATTTTCCTCAAATACTGTCTCGTTGCACAAGTCATGGACTGTCAACACCAATTCAGTTTGCCTTCGCTGTGGCCATACTGTTCCCAAAGAGAATGCAGTCACTGCTTCAAGAGAAACGTCGGTCACAAAGGCACAACTTTCAGCCCAAGTAAACTTTTTGACTTTATCAACGTTTTGATTTAATTCATCACTGATCAGTCGTAGGGTTACTTTGACGTACAACGACGGTAGTTGGAATAGAGGGAATAGAGCTCTTGAAATACTTCTCCAGTGAACTTTAGAAGAGAGTTCAGCTTCTATTTCATTCAAGCTTGACAAGCATTTTGTAGAATTTTTGGAAGGTGTTCTTTCAGTAGTAGGGTTTTTTTCAGTCGCCCTTCCAGGAGTACTAGTTGTGAAGTTTGCAGCAGTTGAGTTGCCTGCATCGATATAAACTACTGCAGAGATCAGCAGCAAAACTAGTAATATTGTCAATAAATTCGCCATACCCTTTTCATTGGAGGAGTGCCTTCTGCGTCTTTGACAACGATTCCGGGTAAACCGACACGGCTCAAAAACCGCTGATTGGTCAATCCAAAATTGCAATTGCTCATGCGCACTCGCTTTTTCCGCTGAAATTGTGCGGGCTCTATTGAACAAAATGGCGGTCGAAGAAGAGTGTTTTATGTTTGTGACAAAGGAAAATGGGCATAAGAACGTCTTGTTCAATCGTAATTTGACAGTTTTATTAAAGGAATAGATGGAAACTACTTCTTGCTTCCTTTTAGAGAAGGAATCCGATTTAAGAACGAAATAGAAAGACCACTACATGGAAGCGAAAGGCGGCCGATCACGAGTATGCAACTGAGTTAACTCATTTTCTTTTGAAAGCTGTATTACAGTCCAGATCTTCGTTTGTAAATACGTTTTCCGTTTCTTCAAAAGTTGGTAATTGCTAAAGAAATCTTTTTTTAAGGTTGGATTCGAGTAGAGTTTTTTTTAGTTTTTAAAATCTCTATGTCAGTATTCGTATAAGTATATTGCACTATTTTCTGGATAATTCTTGTTCGTTTCAAATTAGTTCAATGATGCTTTAAATGACAAAAAACTGCTATTGATGGTAATATTTGAAATTTATTTTGCCAAGACCCAAAAGTCACACCTGAATGACAAACTGAAGAAGTTTAAAGTGACATGATTTACTGTCAGTGTCACGTCACTGTCAACAAGATTCCATGAAATAAGTGGATTAAAAAAAATAACATGGTCTCAAGTATTGCAAGATTCATTCAAAAGATCATCATGCTTGTATWTACAAAAATATGATCAGAAAGGTAAAACATTATCAAGACATTGAATTTGGAAACTTTGGATTTGTGTATTATCAATATCATTATGACTGTTGTAGATGCTGCCAAATACCAATGCTGGAACAAAGTTTTTTTTGAATTATTGAT